CCAACGCTGGGATGCCAATGACGATGTCCTTTGCTGAAATTTTGTGATTTAGACAAACCTATTTTGAATTTGTGATGGTGGAATTGCATAGTGAATTATGTTAATTAGAGGATATTTGGATCTACATTCTTTTATGCCAGAAATTGCTTTTGCATTTGGGCCACTTAACTGTTCCGCCTGTGAAAAATCATATTTTTCACATACGGGGCTTTTAGGGTGGTAGCTTGCAAAATTCAATTTTCACAGACGGGTGAAGGTTCTCCTTGTCCGCTTTGCAGGTGTTGAAAGACATTAAGTGCCGATTTCCAATTACCTTAACAAATAAAAGGAGAACTAACTTTTCTTATACGTATTTTAATTACAAATAATTTAGTTCCACTTGTTTTGGAGAAATACTATGGATGTAGGGATTATACAATAAAAGTGAAAGAGAAATAAATCGGCATGCAAAGGAACACACCTCCAGCGAATCATGTGAGAGCACACGGATTAAAGGGCACACAAGTCAGACATCTGCAATGCACCACCTTAGGGGCCCACATGGCAACCTCTAGAGAAAGGCGGTGGAGAGAGGTGGAGCCCAGGGGTGACTGAACCCTGGTTTGGTTGAACCGCCATCGCTGCCTCTCATCTCCACCTTCCATGTGGACATCACTAATTACCTCCTAATGACAGTTGTGGGAGTTATCGACCTAATCAACTGTCATAAGTAGGCTATAAAAAGGAGATCACCTCTTCAGTTCACAACACACACTTAAGAAGCAACCTGTCTATTCTACATTTGTATTACTCTCTAGTTTAGTGGAGTTTAGGCTTAGAATAGTTCTTCGGTTTCCTAGACTTCTCGAAGATTTGGGTATGTCTTTAGTATTATACTCCTATTCCTATTGTAAGACTATGAACTCAATAATAGAATTATCTTTTTTATTTAATTGTGTTCGTATTTCATATACTGCTTTATCATATATATGGTCAGTAGTTTATACCTCTTTCATAAACTATGCACGTTTAGGCTAGTTGATATATGCTATGGCGTCGGTCCAATGATCTTAGTGGATTGCACTAGTTCTAACTTTTGTCCATTCAAAAAGTGAGAGTCCCAGAGGAATTAGTGACATTATTTAGCAATGTAAGCATGGTGCGTAGATTGATTAAATGCCATGCACCACAGAAAGTAAGGTAGGCGAGAGGTGGTGGTGACAACCATGTTAATTTGTCCTTTGTATTCCACACATTTGGGTATGACATAAGAGTTCATAAAGTGGTATAACCACGCTGGCCGACCAATATGGAGTGGTCTCTTGGTAGTGCCTAGATACATAGAACCATAGCTATCTCCTTTGTCTCTCTTCACTAGATAGTAGATTTATTGAGATGATTCTTCTGTGTATCACACTACCCAATTATTATTATTATTATTATTATTATTATTATTATTATTATTATTATTATTATTATTATTATTATTATTATTATTATTATTATTATTATTATTATTATTATTATTATTATTATTTAACCCTGATAGACTATTATATATTAAATATAGCGTGATTACGAATATATCAACTTATTTTTTACACTGTCGTCTTCCCTGCAGGGAAAAACAAATACTATACTCATGAAACACTCTGGGTGAAATGCTACAAACGTATATATGCGCTTACGGATTTATCCGTGACCATATCAAATATCAACAGTATGCCCTAAATAGCAGGCGGAGCGTTTAGCCATAAAAAATCATTTTTCTAGTAGTACTCTTTGCCATGCGTGGGCACACATGTAGTATATAGTGGTCCGTCTACGCATCTACCATGCAATCAATAAAAGTAGTCTTTGACTCTTATTGTTTGAATAAGCTTAGAGCGCTTGTTAGGCCTTGTTTAGTTGGGAAATTTTTTTTGTTTGGTTATCACATCGGATTTACGGACACACATTTAAAGTATTAAACGTAGTCTAATAACAAAACAAATTACAGATTCCACCAGGAAACTGTGAGATGAATTTATTTAGCCTAATTAATTTATCATTAGCAAATGTTTACTGTAGCACCACATTGTCAAATCATTTCGCAATTAGGCTTAAAAGATTCGTCTCGCAATTTACACACAATCTGTGTAATTAGTTTTTTTTCTACATTTAATACTCCATGCATGTGTTCAAACATTCGATGTGACAACGTGAAAATTTTTGTTTTGGGAACTGAACAGGGCCTTAATTCTCCCAAGTGATATCTTGCATCATTATTTCTGGACTTGATACGCAGAATAATGTTTAATACTATACTCTCCAATTCCCATCACTGCATGAAAACAGTGCTCGATCGTGAACCATGCAATGTTTATCCTTAACGATCTAAGTCACATTATTGTTGAAACCAACTGAACATCAAAACAAGTTGTACCTCCTTAAGAAGATATCATCACATTTTTTTTACCTAATCATCTATTACATTGTAGAGAAGCTTATTAGAAGTACACATCCCATTCACTCTAAGTTCTCAAATTACTACTTTAGCAGGAGAGAAAAAAGAAAGAAAGATGGACTAAGTTATAACTGTGTAGATTGATAGCTATATGTATAGGAAATACTATTATACTTTTAGAGATAGAGACATAATATTATATAAAATATTTATTATTATACTTCAGACATGGTAAACAAAGCACCCAATTTATCGTGAAAATATGAAATTAGCACAGTAATCGAAAAAGAGAGATTCGCACCTTCAATTATAATACAAAAAATAGAGTAGATTGATATATAGGAATACATAATAATATAAGGATTTGTTAAATTTCATTTTCTTAAAAATTTGTAAATTTGAAGCTACCTAAAATTGCACACCGAACAATATAGAGCTATATACTTTATCCTTCCAGAAATATAAACAATTCTAAATTGTTTAGCAAATATTAATGTTGGGGAAATAGGCTTTGACGCCTCTCGTTAAATGACCCAGAATGGGGGTATGACGATAGTTAGGGATATGATAGGAAGAAATTTTAACAAGGTATGATCGATTGGACAAGCAAGTAATATTGTGAAGTACTTATATTTGTGAACATAATGAGTACTAAAATATCACTACACAATGCCACCAGAAAATCCGACTAGTTTCATTTACTTGCACGTGACTTGAAAACTCAAATTACTCAAATAAATTTTGCATCCATCTATAGGTCGAGTTTTATTTGCTTCCCTCAACAGTAGAACCTGATATAAAGCATCCTTCAACTTTTAAAACCAATACAAATTGATTCCCTTGATTTTATTGAAAACAATTTCATCTAACGTGATATCTATATGACGTGTTAAACCTGTCCTCATTTGATATGACACATATATAACCATCTAATAAAAAATTGATGTGCCTTCTCTTCTCTTCGATCTTCCCTCTCTCTCCCCTTCTCATATCTCCTCTTCTCCACGACGGCCTTCACTTGGGACAGTGCAGCAGGAACCCTTATGAGTATGGGTGAAAACGGTATGGAAACTTTCCGGATTCTGGACCTATTTTTGAAAATGGAATTTGTCGGTCCGAATTTTTTCGAAATTTTTCGGAAACGGAAACGAATTCGGAAAATATTTCTCAGAAACAGAAACGAAAATGATAAGAGTAGCTTCCGTCGGAACTCGGAATCGGTCGGAAACTTTCCGGAAATTTTCTCGGAATTTCCAGAAATTTTGTGACTGAAATACCCTGGATTCTTTTTTTAAGCAATGAATAGTGAATACCATGGTATTTGGCTGTTATTTTTTAAAAATAATATTTGTTATGCAAATCTGAAGTTACATAAGAATATTTTTTTCATGCATTGAGATTTATCTACAACATTACTCTCTTAAACATAGATAATTTATTTTATAGATTGTGTTTTGTGATGTACTGTTAAGACTTAACAATTGGACTTATATGATTGTGTTTTATGATGAATTGTTGACTGTTTGAAACTTGAGAATTGGATTTATCAGTTTGAGGGGGTTTTTTACTCTAATAAATTTCCGTTACCGTATTCACGCCGGTTTATTTTCGCTCCGATTTCAGTTTTGATAATATTTGATTTCGTTTTCGTATCCGAGGTTTCCGATTCCCAAAAAAATATGAAAATGAAAATGATAAAGGTGGTTTCCATCCATTTCCGTACCGTTTTCACCCCTACTTGTGAGTTGTGACACCCCAAAAAAAATGGAGGAGAAAAATAAAAAGAAAAGAGGGTTGCTTGAGCTGCTTAGCTCCTTGGGCCTGAACCAGTGTGCAGCAAGTTGGGCCTTAGCCTGGTTGGTAGCAAGTGTGCGTGCGTGCAGCTGCAGTAGCAGCCTAGCAGGCCGGCCGGTGGCTAGCAGCAGCAGCGAGCGGAGCAGCAGCAGTTCTGGAGCTCGGCACGCACCAGCTAGTACCATGTAAGTTTGGAGAGAAAGAGACAGCAGTAGTGTATAAGAATGCTCGAGCAACCCAGACTAAAGGGGTTACAAATCGAAACCTCGAATCCAGAACTAAAGATGATAGCGCCACGTGAATAACGCTACCATCTTTATTACCGGTTACCAACCAGAACTAAAGTTTTTTTTTCTTTTTTTTATTGTTTTATTTTGCTGCTTGCAACCAGACATCAATACTGCCATGGGACCAAAATTCCACGGTGATGTCATATAAACTCCACGTAAAGTTGAGAGACGGCTGGTGAACTTATTCCTTTTCCAAACGCAAATGATGGTCCAGCCCGGAAATGCCCAGTGCTAAGGATTAAGGAATAAGTTCATCTTAGGTCCCTTAACTTGTCAAGGAATCCGATTTTCGTCCACAAACCGGAAAATCAGATACAGCCGTACCTCAATTGTCAAAACCAGATAAGGTCCCTCGGTGGTTTTAATGGCGGTTTTGGCTGACGTGACGCCTATGTGGCTAATTTGACTTAGTCTTCATCTGATGTGGCATTGACGTGGCGGTTACGTGGCAATTCAAACCCGAAAAATAATAAACCTCATGAGACCCACATATCAGTTTCACATAAAAAAAATAGTAGGGCCCACATAGGCCCCACATGTCATTCTCAGTCCCCCCTTCTTCCTCATCATTCTCTCCCCATCTCCCTCTCTTCAACTCTCTCTCCCCTCTCCTCTCTAGCGACGGTGGAACGGCTCCGGCGGCTGTGGCCCTGGCTGCGGCGCCCGGCGGAGATGAGCTGGGCGTCGGTGCCCATGCCACCGCCTCCTCCATTGACCTCGCCGTCGCCGGTCTCCTCCAGTATACTCAACTGCATCAAGAGGTATATACTCTTTCTAAGAAAAGAATGGCAAGATAAAGAGCTGACATTGCAGAGTAACAACACTGCTACTCCAGTAAACACTGAGAGGCAGAGTGTACATGTAAACCAAACTCATTTTCCCATTCAACTGCTATTTGCCATGCTAATTACTAAATTGAGCACCGAAAGGATCAAAGAATTAATTAACCCGTCGCTGCCGCGGCTCCTGCAACCAACCTGCACCTTCGTGCTGGCGCCGGCGACCAAGAAGCACCCAGGCTTGCTCCCGAGCTCGAGCGAGACGGAGCCGGGCTTCCCGTCGAGCCCCGGCACGACGTTGAACATGCAACCGGCTCCTCCATTGACCTCGCCGTCGCCGGCGACCTCCTGCCCAAATCTGGCCTGAGCTTGCCACGCTCCTTGTGGGCGGTGGCGAGCGCGTCGTGGAGGGCGGGGAGTGAGTCGGGCCGGCGACCTCCCGCCCAAATCCGCCATCTCCGCCCACCCCCGTGGCGGCGCCGACCACCACGTCGCCGGTCTCCTCCAAGAAGATGCCCGCCGCCGCGCCGACCACCCCCGCCACCCCGGCCCCCGCCGCGGCGCCCACCACCCCAGGTCCGGCCACCGCGCCACCCACCAAGTCCACCAAGGCACCCGGCCAAGGCCACCCCGCCGCCGGCCTCCTCATCCCCGCCGCGGCACACGCCGAGCCACCGCCGCCGGAGCTCGCCCACCCGGCTCGCTCGCCTGCTCCGCCACCCACCCGCGCCGTCCGCTGCCCGGGAAGAAGAAGAGAGAGAGAGGGGAAGACGTGAAGAAGAAGTGAGGATGAAGAAGAGAGAAGGGAGAGGGAAGAAGGCAGGGCTGAGGCTGACATACGGGGCTCACGTGGGCCCCACCATTTAGAAATTACTCTCTCCATTTCAAAATAAGTATAGTTTTAGCACTGTTCATGTCCAACATTTGACCGTTCGTCTTATTTGAAAATTTTTTATGATTACTACTTTTATTGTTATTAGATGATAAAACATGAATAGTACTTTACGTGTGACTAATTTTTTTAATATTTTTCATAAATTTTTCAAATAAGACGGATGGTCAAAACGATGAACACGGATTTCTATGTCTGCACTTATTTTGGGACGGAGGTAGTATTTTTTTATGAAGCTGACATGTGGGGACACGATTTTTATTATTTTTTCGAGATATAATTGCCACGTAAGCACCATGTCAATGCCACGTAGGATGGAGACCTAGTCAAACCAGCCACGTAGGCGCCACGTCAGCCAAAACCACCTTCCAAACCGTTGAGGGACCTCGTTTGCACCGGTTTTAATAGTTGAAGAACCGGTTGTATCTGGTTTTGAAGTTTGAGGACGAAAATCAGATTTGGTGTAAAATTAAGGGACCTCGGATGAACTTATTCCAAGGATTAAATAGGCTTAAGGTCCAATCGTCAAAATCCTAATGTGGGTAACAGGATAACTAGATAATGCCCATTTGCCTAAACATAACCAGAAAAGAAATGTCCATTTTGATTCCCTTAAGGGTCAAATCTAGTTTGTATCCCTCAACTGTAATCTTGATCCAAACTATTAAAACAAGCGTAAATGTCTCCCTCTATGTTTTTAGGGGTGGTTTTTGCTCACGTAGCTCGTTGACCTAATCCAACCGACACAGTCAACATGAGTATTTTCTTTCTTTCTTTTTTTCTCATCCTCTCGGCTCTTGTTCTCTCCAACCAAAAAAAATTATTCAAAAGGAAGCAGGCAGGGCAGCACATTGTGAGGGAATCAGGCGGCGGCGCACAGTTCTCTCCCTTGGCACCCTCCTTTCCCTCATATGCAATGGACTCAAAAGGGCGGCTGCAGCGTATGCCGGTGGATTAGGTTTCGAGGGTGGATCCAGTGAGAGCAAAGGTGGTGGGGTGACCCAAGGACGCTGCTTCGCTCAAGTCCACATGTGCTTCGCCTCAAGGCCAGGATGCCGCCGCCCTACTCGAGACTAGGTAGCTGACTTGAGACTAGGCCGTTGTCGCGCGTCGGGGCCGCCCAGCCGCTGCTCCACCTTGGGTCACGCTGTCACTCTATCTCAAGGCTGGGCCATCGCCACTATGCTTGAAGCCGCACTACCGTCCCACCTCAAGGCCGGCACCCTGTCACTCCACCTCGAGGCTACCTAGACGTTATTTTGTTCCGCTGCTACGCCTTAGAGACACCCCACTGCCGCTCTACCTTGGGCTATGCCGTCGCTCTTTCTCCAAGGCGCGCTGCTACAACTCCGCCCTGAGTCTCCATGTGCCTGTGTGGAGAAAGGAGAGGGAAGAAAGAAAGAAAGGAGAAAGAAGTGGGAGGAATCACTAACATGTGAGCTCTGTATATTGATTTGGTCAGTTGGATTAGGTCAACGAGCCATCCAAGAGAAAACAACCCTTAAAATCATTGAGAAAATCATTTTTAACTGTTTTAATAGTTAAGAGATGAAGATATATTTTTTTTTATAGAAAGAGATGAAGATATCCGATATCCAATATGATAGGAATCAGAAAACGTATATTTTTGAGGGAGTCAATGCGGACTTATTCCCACCAGAAACTGCAGCATATTGGACGCAGTGGTTCCTTCCGCGGTAGCTGCGCCCGCGCCCACGGGAATGCGATTCCCAGCCCATTCCACCCCCTTCCCATTCCGGTGGGCCATTCCGAATCCAACCAACCAACCAACCATCGAACCCGCACCCGCATCGTATCCACTCCTCTCCAGTCTCCCCGCCGCTCCGCATCCCGCAGCCGCTCGTCAGCGACGGACATGGCCGCCGCCGCCGCAGCCATGGCCACCGCCACCTCCGCCACGGCAGCGCCGCCGCTCCGCATTCGCGACGCCGCGAGGAGGACCCGCCGACGCGGCCACGTTCGCTGCGCCGTCGCCAGCGGCGCGGCCGAGGCGCCCGCGGCGCCCGGGGCGCGGGTGTCGGCGGACTGCGTCGTGGTGGGCGGCGGCATCAGCGGGCTCTGCACCGCGCAGGCGCTGGCCACAAAGCACGGCGTCGGCGACGTGCTCGTCACGGAGGCCCGCGCCCGCCCCGGCGGCAACATCACCACCGCCGAGCGCGCCGGCGAGGGCTACCTCTGGGAGGAGGGGCCCAACAGCTTCCAGCCTTCCGACCCCGTCCTCACCATGGCCGTACGTCTTCTTGCTCCCCTTCTCTTCTGATTCTCTCGCGGCGGAGACGACATGAATGGGAATGGTGGTGCATGGATTGGGGCGCGCAGGTGGACAGCGGGCTCAAGGACGATCTCGTGTTCGGGGACCCCAACGCGCCGCGGTTCGTGCTGTGGGAGGGGAAGCTAAGGCCGGTGCCGTCCAAGCCCGGCGACCTGCCGTTCTTCGACCTCATGAGCATCCCCGGCAAGCTCAGGGCCGGCCTTGGCGCGCTCGGCGTTCGAGCGCCACCTCCAGTTTGTGTGCTCTCCCCGCTGTGCATTCTTGATTCACTTGTGAAATTCGATTGTGCTGAGCGTTTCCGGCGAAGGTTTCAGGGGCGTGAGGAGTCGGTGGAGGACTTCGTGCGGCGCAACCTCGGCGCGGAGGTCTTTGAGCGCCTCATTGAGCCTTTCTGCTCAGGTGTTTATTGTAGTGTGCAATTGCTGTTTTGTTTTTGATGATTCAGATAAGAATACGGTGATTTCGGTGCTTAGGTGTGTATGCTGGTGATCCTTCAAAGCTCAGTATGAAGGCTGCATTTGGGAAGGTGTGGAGGCTGGAGGATACTGGAGGTAGCATTATTGGTGGAACCATCAAAACAATCCAGGAGAGGGGGAAAAACCCCAAACCGCCGAGGGATCCGTGAGTGAGAAATTGCCTTCTTTGTTGGATTAATTGTCCATTGTGTTACACTGATATGCCTTCACCATTTTTAGCCGCCTTCCAACGCCAAAGGGGCAGACAGTTGCATCTTTCAGGAAGGGTCTGACTATGCTCCCGGATGCTATTACATCTAGGTTTGTTATCATTGTCTTTGTAATTTACCTAGTTCTTCAACTATGGATATTAGGTGCTGTAGATTGTTCAGATAGATGCACATTGTACAACAATCTAGGTAGATTGATTGCTATGGCTTGTTGAATTAACTGTTTCACTTGCATCATTGCCTCAGCACATATGAAGCATATGGATAGATTCTTCAATCATTTATCCCTCAATAACACAATTTTGACACCAGTGCTTCTCCTTTTTTTCATCCTGCTTCATCTGGCTATCCACAATATAATTAAGCATACAAAAGAGGCACTCTTTGATGGACAATTCATAGTGTTGTGGGTTAATATTCATTTGCATTCTTTGAGGGACAATTCGTTACACCCTAACATGAACTAGTAATGATTGGGGTGCTTAACCATTTGTTCTGCATTTCCTCCATTTTCAGGTTGGGTAGCAAAGTCAAACTTTCATGGAAGTTGACAAGCATTACAAAGTCAGACAACAAAGGATATGCATTAGTGTATGAAACACCAGAAGGGGTGGTCTCGGTGCAAGCTAAAACTGTTGTCATGACCATCCCATCATATGTTGCTAGTGATATCTTGCGGCCACTTTCAGTAAGTTATATATATTTAATTAACTTTCTGTTCCCAAAATACACTGCAGCACTTCATTGCTTCCTGAGGTCCTCGATTCATTTTTCGGTAGACAGGAAGTAGTATTCATTTGCACTTTTTAAGGGATTAATTCAACATATCCACTGGAAATATACATATCCTACACATCCTGTCAACATACTTGCTAAACAGCATTTTGTTTGAGTTGACTGGCATCTCAGCAGCCAATTACTATCTTTAGGGGACAAGCCACATTCTTAATAAATCCTGTCGGAAATCACTTTTTGATTTTTATAGATTAGTGTTGTCATAGAATTTGGCTTGGTGATCTACTTGGTAAGGTTAACTGATTCACAAGTCGGACAATTTCTTCACCAATCTAGCAGTATGTTTAAGTGTGTTGGTACTTAATTCTAAATGTCCTGCGCATGGTAACATATCATATGCAAAAATTCCTCAGTAACCGAAATTTATACTGTAAGTTTTAACTGTCTTTACACTGTTAATTTTAGACATACTTCTTCCTTGCTTGTTCATTGAACTTGTTTCCCCCTTCCACAGAGTGATGCAGCAGATGCTCTGTCAATATTCTATTATCCACCAGTTGCTGCTGTAACTGTTTCATATCCAAAAGAAGCAATTAGAAAAGAATGCTTAATTGACGGAGAGCTCCAGGGTTTCGGCCAGCTGCATCCGCGTAGTCAGGGAGTTGAGACTTTAGGTACTTATAGGAATTCAACCTTATTATTCTTCTAACATATAAATGAACTAATCTTTCTTGTCTAGTTTGCATTTATTGTGGATTAAGTTTGGTTATATTGTTCTTACAAGTTTGTGGTATTATTTTGTATAGGAACAATATATAGCTCATCACTCTTTCCAAATCGTGCTCCAGCTGGAAGGGTGTTACTTCTGAACTACATAGGAGGTTCTACAAATACAGGGATTGTTTCCAAGGTATCGCTGTCAAGTTGTTTATTTTGCGACTATATGATTACAGTATCCTGTTTTTCAACTCCAGCTGCTGTTAGACTGTCATAATAAATCTGCTACTACATGTTTGCACACTATTTGACTGCATTTAAAAACTCAGATAGCCTATATTTTTAGTTGCCTGCTACTGGGTGTATTTCTAATGATCCCATCATGTTTGCAGACTGAAAGTGAGCTGGTAGAAGCAGTTGACCGTGACCTCAGGAAGATGCTGATAAATCCTAAAGCAGTGGACCCTTTGGTCCTTGGCGTCCGGGTATGGCCACAAGCCATACCACAGTTCCTCATTGGCCATCTTGATCATCTTGAGGCTGCAAAATCTGCCCTGGGCAAAGGTGGTTATGATGGATTGTTCCTCGGAGGGAACTATGTTGCAGGAGTTGCCCTGGGCCGATGCGTTGAAGGTGCATATGAGAGTGCCTCACAAATATCTGACTACTTGACCAAGTACGCCTACAAGTGATCAAAGTTGGCCTGCTCCTTTTGGCACATAGATGTGAGGCTTCTAGCAGCAAAAATTTCATGGGCATCTTTTTATCCTGATTCTAATTAGTTAGAATTTAGAATTGTAGAGGAATGTTCCATTTGCAGTTCATAATAGTTGTTCAGATTTCAGCCATTCAATTTGTGCAGCCATTTACTATATGTAGTATGATCTTGTAAGTACTACTAAGAACAAATCAATTATATTTTCCTGCAAGTGACATCTCAATCGTCAGCAAATTCAGTTACTAGTACTACTGTGTCATACAGGAACACATGAGAATGCAGCAATCTGTTTAGACTCTTCCCAGACATCCCCCACTATACCGTTTCAGTGTGATCTTTGTGAAAAGAAAAAGAATGCGACTATTGATACAGTATTTGACTACCTAGATTATTGTATACTAGTGTCAAGCTATATTCCTCATGGCTCTTTTCTAAAACAACAATACAAATTGAAGTACAAGAGTACTTAAAATTTATATATCCCAAGGACCGTGCCAAGCAGTGTTCTTAATTAATTTGAGATAACACGATCCTAGGAAGAACTAGTACTAGCAAACAATTAACAATCAACACAAACCCTTTGGCTTGAACTTGAAGGATGCCATCATCATGCATGCAAAATGTACACCACACACACATGCATGTGCTAGCTGTGATCACTTCTGAACCCTTTTTTTTTTTTTAAAAAAAAGCCTAGCATGATCACAGGATGACAACTGAACACACACACAAATGCTGAAATGCCTCTAGCTGCACACACATTGTCATTTGTCAAAGGCAGCAGCAATGAATGCAGTGGAGGGATTTGATGCACAAGAAACTGAAGCAGGTCACCGAGGATGAGGGATCCCTGCCTCCCTTGCTATGCCTCTTTTATCTTTGACTGCATCGATCTGCAATTCTGCATCTCTGTCTGCATATCACGTCCCTAGCTGCAGCCCGGCCGGTGAACAGACTGAAGACAACCATGGAGATCATCGGCCATGCATGGACAGACAACAAGGGCACAATCATTATTAGCTAGGGTTCATTCTTGCATGGATCCAACATTGCAAGTTTATGCCAGCCAGTAGCTTTTGAGCCTTTTGTTTCTCCAGCTAATTGGTCTGGAATGGATTACTGAAATTTTCAGATCTCTGTCAGCTGGCCAGCCCTGCATGCATGGAAACAAGGCAGGCAAGGAGGAAACAGCTTTTGCTGCACAGCATGCATTTAGTAGTAGAATTCATGGAGAGGCCAAGGAGTTGTGAATTGTGTGGTTATACATGAGGAGCAGCTAGGTAGGGGTCCTCAGAATGATGTCTTGCATCTTTTGTCGTGCACACATCTCAATGCAATGTTGTATGTATAAGTTATAGCTAGTCCAATGTGGCATACAGCTAAAATGGTAGCTAGCTCGAGCTTTGTGTCTACCGTTCATCGACCAGCTCTTTATTCAGGTTGATGACTCTATTAGCTAGGTGCATTTGGCCTCTAAGCCAATAATTGTTGAAATGTTTAATTCTTTGTTAATTTTTAATTAAGACCGATGTTGAACTGTGCATGAATGATCAAATGCCTTGGGGTTTAATTTGTTTACTCTCTCCAGTGTCCTAGCAGCTAGCAAAGATGATTCTATTTTGATTAACTTGACTACACATTCTACTATGTGAAAACACACACTCACATATTGATCCATCTTCTGGCCATCATTTGCTAGGGGATCCAGATCTCTGCGTATGTAGGGGATTCCGAGAGGCAGGGAGCAGCATTACGTGAAACATGGATGCCTAGCTTAGATTTGCAAGCAAGCTTGCTCTGCACATAAAGAGCAGAGGACCCTATGTTTGTACTAACGAATGGAATTATATTTAGGCATTGGACATTCGGTCCGAGTTGCTCCCTCCGTTGAGAAATTCAAGGCGTATTAGTTTTTGACAATATTCAATATTAAAGTGTGACCATTATTTTTTATAAATAGAACACTGACAACTATCATATTAACTTCATGTAAAATCTTCTAAATATGAATCCATTGACACCACTTGTATCACACTAAACATATATATTGTTTGTTTATTTATTAGTCAAAGTTTACAAGTGTTGACTTTTACAATTACTACATGCATGGTTTATATTTTCCAAAGGAGGGAGTAAATTATCGGATAGTCAAACTATTTTAGTTGATCAAAGATGAAATATTCACCAAAATAGAGTGGGACAAATTATAAAAAGCATTGAATCATTTTTATTAAAAAAAGAATCCAGTGTGTAAATTGCAACATTAAAAAAAAACTTACTAAAACATTCAAATAACACCACATGCAACATTTGCAAAATGACATGCTAAAACATGTGAAAAATACTTATTGAAATATATCCAAATAATACCATGTATAATGTTTAAAAAATCCATTGCACTTACAAAAGCGTAATGATCCAAATTAGCATTCTCTCCAAGCAAATCGCTCAGCTCGAACCAACCCAATCGTCCACACTCCATACATGGCGTCTCCTCCTGTGGTTTGGCTGTTGTTTTCCTCTCTGCCCCTACCACACTTTCGCGTGTTAGGAACCCGTTGGTTGCAGCGGGGCATGCTAACGTGCTGTGAGAGATCAGGGGTGCTGGATGGTGATGGTGTAGGAGTCGGTACATGGGAGGACGGTGTTAGGAACCTAAGCACTTCATGGGGTAGTTGACACTGAGGATCTGACAAACTTCCTGTATGGCAATTGCAAGCAGGTGCTGCCTGGAACTTCCATTGTGACGATGAAAGCGGAGGCAGGGTAGTATGGAGACACCGTGCCATTGCCACTGTGTTGGATGAATGAGCCGGGTGAGAGGTTGGTGGTGGCACACGAGAGGAACAAGCGAAAGAGAAGTGTATAAAAAAATAGTTAATCCCTACCGGTTCAAAACGGTATCATCGATCGGTTTTTAACCGGCAGTGACACGAGCGTATCACTATCGGTTCGTTCAACCAACCGGTAGTGATACAAGATGCATAAATAGATCAATTTTATTGGGTTCAATCCTCACGGTGGTCCATGCCATGAACCAGCAGTGAAACATCACAGCCAATTCATGCCATGGGTCAGCAGTGATGCTAAGCATCTCTACTGGTTCATGGCAGTTTGGACAGGAAAATTCATTCAACCCCTATGGACGGATAGGGATGGAGAATCACTGCTAGCTCAAGCCAAAGTGGCAGTAACAATAAGCCAATTAATATGTGAACTCATCAAAGTATTATTAGAACCGTATCAATATATGCGTATAATTATGGGCATTAGGATTTAAAACTAGTCAGTATCCACAACGACTCAATCACTATACTAAAAGTGATTCTCTAATTTCCAACATTCAGTTATGAGTTTGCTCAGAAAGTCGCAAAGCTTAATTAGTTCCGGACAATCGTGTGCCGCGCGGAAAAGAAAAGGAAGGAGAGGTTGACAACCGTGAGCCCGTGGCCACACCCTGTTTTCACAGGCCACGACAACGTGAGATGAAATGTGATGATGCGAATTGAATCAGCAGGCGATGAGCCGATCGATGGATGATAGAGGCGACCGACCGACCGAACTGGGAATGAAGCGAAGCGACGTAAGCGATGTCGCACTACTGTCCCAATCTGCTCCCTGCTCAACTACGCTTAGAAAACTGTCAAACTTGTAAAGGAGATCGAGCTTAGCTGCTGCTAATCGCAAGAGCAAGACAACGTTCTTTTATGTCTCGTTGCTGTCATAACCCAAGTAATCTTTAATGATCTAGTTGCAGCGCGCACACACACACACACGCAATGACGCAAATTGATCATAATTTTCTTTTCCTGAAAAGAATCGAAAGGGCCTGCACTGAATAAAAGAATCCTGCAGCCTAGCTAATGAACATTCAGATACACAAGCACAGAGATAGATATATATATATATATATATATATATATATATATATATATATATATTGTTTCTTTAAATATGATTGTCCCATTGTCATCTGCTATCCTGATGAGCTCGAAAACGAGGCAGCCCGGGTATGTCTCATGTGTGCCTGCTAAAAGTTGGTGGTGAGCTATAAAACAATGCGCCGCTTGTCTGAAGAAAGGCCATGCAATGCATATATGCAGTTTGATCTGCAGCGAGCGGTAGGAGGAGAGCAGTTTGCTTTTGCTTCCAGCTGAATGCTGCTGCATATGCTAGCTGCTCGTTCCCTCGATCGCAATCTTCACTCGCACAAAAGGGGGGAGATCGAGCTGGCTCTGCCTGCTTTATGATTCGTCTTGTCTCCTTCGATGCATCGATCGGCAGCTTCTCGAGGAAACCTTAACGAGAACATTTTGTCTGGTTAATGGCCGTCGTTTCGATTTAATTTGTCTGATTATCCGATCCCATCAGTTAATTGACTTGTAATTAGCCTATACGTCGCCCAAGTTGTTAATTAGTATTGATATATAAAGTTATTAGAAGTTTTAATCATATGACGCATCGATTGGTTATTTTTTAAATCATATAGAGCTTAGATAAAAACAAGACTCCATGTTGTTCCACCTTACTAATTATTGATTTTGAATTACGGAATTAACTTAATAAAATGCTAAATTGAGGGTTCAAAATGGTACAACTTAATATTCATTAATTTTAAATTATTGACTTTTAAAAATTAGAACTAAATAGTCCACAATATTTACAAGAAAAAGTTCATTTTACTTCCCCAAACTAGTTGATTAGATAACTTAGTACCCAAAAAATATTTTACCCCTAAACTATTGAAAATAGTTCACTTTACTATTTAATAATATTTTTCTTTTATATTATGCTTTATACAAGTTTTATTCTATAGGCTGAAATTTTTTAAGCCATAGATGACACCATTATCTAAGTTCAAAAATATTTTCAAAGTTTTTCATGACTTTGTTTGAAATTTAAAATCTTAATGTTTAAATCACTTTTAAGTGTTTCCAACCTATGTAACAACGAGGAAACATCCTTTAAAAATGTTGAGATGCCAGTTATAATGCATCTATCATTCTTTCAAAATTTCAATGTAAAATATGACTTATATAGAGAGAAACGAAAAAGGAAATATATAACTTTAGAGATGAAAGTGGACCGTTTTCAGTAGTTTATGATGTAAAACAATAAAAAACACTTCAGGGGGTCAAGCGTTTCGGTGAAATTGTCTGAGAAAGTAAAAAGGACTTTTTATTTTTTAATGTTATGTTTTATTTAATTACAGGCTTTTAATATGATCTACGGTTATCATAATTAG